TGTAGTTGTCCGATTTTCGATCACGAACGTTAAAACAACCTAATTTCGTTTATAATAAATAACGGTAGAAACGATGAAACATACATGTAAACACGCGCGCGCACTGAATATCACAGGCAACATTGTGTGTAGAAAAACATACTGTCCAAGTTAGCCAATTGAATTTATGCCCGGGTAAAACATTTTGCATAAAGCGAATTCCGACCTGTCGACAACGGACAAGTACGTAAACCATCTGTCTTGTCGTTGAATAAGATCATGTTTTCTTCCCCATTTATATTTATACTTAATGTTATTATTCTTACAATTGGTATAGTGTAAATTATAGCTTATTCAGCATATTGTTGCCATAACACGCGCAATTGAACTTGCAACAAACACCCGCCTGAAACACGTGGTGCTCTTTGTGATGCTGATGTATCCCATAATTATTATTGTTCGTGTTCACTAATAAATGGAGCTGTTGATGACATCTGAACACGATTTCAGAATGAACATATATATTTGGTGGGACTAAATATTTCATAAAGCAAAGAAACAAGACAACACGCGTACGGATTTCTTCCGTTGACTTTTATTTCTAACATCCTCAAATAAACGATCAAAACGATATGCCTTAACTGTTCCATGACGTGGATGAAATAACTAATCAGCTGCTACCGTATTTTCTTGAGTATAGTGCGCAATATTTGTCCAAAAAACAAAGCTGTGTAGAAGAGGGTGCGCAATATACACGAAATAATGACTTTTGATGATTTTTTCCCCCCATGGAAAGATATTGCCGTGGGCACGTAACACCGGAAATACCATGTCAACAATTCCATACTAAAGTACGCAAATTAATAATGTAATTACACTGTCTTTTATATCTGGACTTATGTATGTAACTTATTTCATTAATTCTATTTAAATTCTATTTTATTCCTTTAAATATTGTTTTAATTAATTTCGGCAAAATCGCGTGCGAAGCGAGCGGAAGATCGCGCAACTCAACTTTTATTAACAGCGACCACGGTCAGATTACCGCTATTGACGCCTTGAAACGAACTTTAATTGACAGAGAATGGATACATATATCATAAATGCCATACTTTGACTCGTTAAAAGTCATATTTGTTATAGTTTGACGATTCTATGTCAACACGTAGTTCTCGCGATCACGTGCGCGAGAGCCTTGACGGTGACTGGTCAGACTGGTTCCATGTGAAAAATTATTACCCGGCAATAGCGATCAGCTGCTTCGCTTAGGGTTATTATTATTTAAAATATGTTTAGTAAAAGCTGCAACTAAATTAACAAGATATTAGGATATATTATTACTGATAAAAAATAGTTTCAGATACAATTTTTGCCGATCCTTTCATTAAAATACTGTAAAGTTATATATCATTGGGTGTGTCTTGACCGTATCACCGGTAGATTCCAAGAAAACGTGTGTACAGCTGATAGCTGTGTCCGGCTTAGTTTACGAGAAAATACACAAGGTAATCTTAATCCCTGGATGTAAAACAATGCCTGGCAGAACAAAAAATACAATTTAAACGGTGAATAAATTTGTCTGGTGATTTTTTATCTCAAATTTTGAATTTGTACTGACCAAGTTTCTCATCACCCGTTCGTTTACCGGAATTCGCTGAAGGGGTAGATCTACAGTGTAATTTATTTCTGCACTTGACATTCGATTTTTCCCCCTAAAATACTGAATCCGCTGGAGGGGGTTGCGCACTATACTCAAGAAAATACTGGTAATTGATATAGGAAATACCCACACACTTGTGTGAACTCTCAACATCTACTGAATGTCGTATTGAATCGTAGACCATTCATTGTGTGCTATGATGAATAGATAAACCACTAAACTCGTGAAGTTCACGTAATAATTTTCAAACAATCCTGATAGTGCAACAAGTTAATTTTAAATCACACACATTCAAGTACACACACGTCTTTCCATGTATCCACATTCACCCGCTAACCGCACAGGCCGCAGACACCTAAACGAGCCTCCTGGTGGTAATGAAGGCCGGGAATCAACCAAGCGCTAACGGTGAAGTGACACCAATACACAGGACATTCAAAGTCCTTTTACACGCGCTTCAGTGACTTTGCCCACGCACGCGAAAAACCGGGTCCTGCAGTAGGAATTGAAAATCCACATCCCAGAGAGGCCACCCTGACTGTATATCTAGATATGGAGCAATTTGTGGTGTCCAAGATTTATCATTCAGGTTGATACAAAGTTTGATGGTCAAAGGTGATCTTGTCTGCATACATTTTTTTAAAAGCTTCTCTCGACACTCGGTTGTGTTTACATTGTCAGTCACTGTTAGAAACTGGTAAGTCGCCACCTTGCTGGCTATTTATAGTCAGGGCGGGGCTTTAAGCACATGTGGAAATCACTAAAAATATAAAACAGGAGTGAAAACTGCTACCTAGGTCAATACATAGTAAACAGGTAACAGATATTAAATAATGTAATTTCTTTTGAATCTATCTGGGATATTTCTTTACGATAGTTTGATAAACTTTTGCATATTTTGTCTCGATGTGTGAGATGTTGCACACGCTTCTGGTTTTAGTAATGATGAGCAATGTAAGTTCAGGTTCTGCATATCATCAAATATTTATAACTATTCACAGCGTTTGTGGACATTGTTCAACTAAACAAATCTCAAATTAGGGTCACAAAAGTGTCTGACGTTTGTCGGCTTGTCAACAGCAGGTCAATGTCAGAAGGTTTTATACATCTGTGTAAATAATTCTAGAAAATTAATTTACCGTATATGACCGCGTATAAGCCGAATTTTGAGGACCAGAAAAAAGATTCTGTAGAAAGGGGTCGGCTTATCCACGGGATACACTTTCATGGTAGTATTTTTCAGATCATGATCTGTCAGAAACATCGCCTGAATGACTGTCCAATAGATTACAACTTCCCGAAAGTTTGGAAGTTGCCACGACTAGAGCCATTATTGTTATAAATTATCAATAAAGTTATTATTATACACCAATGTTGGCATTATTAAAAAAATGTTATGCATGTTACTAGTTCCGATAATAAGTTTTCAATTGAATGTTCAAAGTTTATCGTTCTTTGTAAACTCCACAATCTTTACATGTAACAATATATGTAATTCACAGCTATAATATGTAATTCACAGCTATAATATATAATCCCCAGATAAAAATCGCCAATAGCTATTACGTACGTTTTGCAAAGTTCATAAATTGATAGTGAACAAGTGTCTACCTTTATTGAAAGAGGCAAATAAACAACTGTATCGTCGAGTTATTCCGTTCGCCATTCGCAAAAACATGTGATCAGCTGTTTTCTGTGACGTCACAAACGGTGACCACTGTGATTGCTTCCTGTTGTTTAAAGCAACACGGTACACAAGGAAATGAGCATTGATAATAACGGGCCGATTGGTATTGTCATGTTGTTTACACAAACATTTTCAAGTTGTGGGTGCTTAGCGATCGTGTTGGGAGTAGGGGCTTAGTTCCTTTGTTTTCGAGAGATTAGTTTAATAAACTGGAGAAGCCTGTGAGTAAGTGATGGTCATTCAATGTGTTCATAGTATGATAGTTTATTTAATTCAATTGGATTAGTGAGTGAGAGAGTTAATATTTAAAGTCACATCGGCAGTATTTCAGCCATATCGTGACTTGAACAAGTTATGCATTTAGATTATATATGAAAAGCTGTCATCGAAGGACAGTACAACAACCAGCAATATATCACAGATTAAGATTTTAAAACTAGTTTTAGAACAATAAAATAATCAGATACAATACAAACGATACAATATAAAAACGGGCTGTAGATCGCCAGCAGCCAAAGTTAGGCCACCATACTAGGGACCATGGGGACTTACGGTACTTCTGCTACCTACATGGTACCCCAGCAGGATTTACACCATCCCTCTGGTCACTGGCGTTTATCAGACAGATTAGCCAAAGAGTTAAAATCAACAAAAATACTACGATTAAATCACAGAGAAATGAAATGATACGTTGAATGATACCGGACGTACGTACCTTCCCAGGGGGTTCAATTGGATTAACATACAATAGTGGTGTAAAGGGGTTTATAAAAGTTGGTATATTTTTACTGAGTGACATTCTCATCATGAGTTTGAAACGAAAACGCCATGCCTTACGATGCTGAATTATAACTGCGAGTCTTCGCTCCAGCTGATATATTTTCTCGCGGGCTCATAATTCTATATACACCGACTCACAAAATGGCGCTTGGTTGTTGATGGCAACATATAACGATCATTATGAGATTTAAAATGCCCACGAGAAACAGCTTCCCACATTATGAAAGTGGATGACTGGTTTGTTAAATCTTTATTAGAAATAATAATGACTTTTTCAATATAATTACAACGTTTTTCATCTTATATTTTTGAATATCTGCGAGTACCGGCACGTCTTGCAGTCCGACTTCGCAGTGTTTTTTGTCTTTCAATTCCTGATTCGGCTTATCTGCGGGTCATATCATTTTCTTTTGTATTTCAATTGTCAAATTAACACCTCGGCTTATCTACGGGGTCGGCTTATCCGCAGTCATATACGGTAGAGGTAACAAAATGATTGTCATAGTATTCAAGGGTCAAGTTCCATCCAATCAATGTTCTGATTCAGATTGTTTTGATATTTAGCAGGCTGAACATTTTATCATGTTTATGCATGACATACATATTTGAAATATTACGCAAAGCCTTCTTGGTAAGTAGATATTGCGAGTTTTGTTTGGGGGTGTCCTTATGCTATTCGCCTGTTAGATGGGTTTGACATTTGATGCACAGCTAGTGATACTGTCGAATAGGTTCGACTCTAGCATTGAGACCATGTAGAGGTATCTTACAAGCCAGAAAGACATTTTTCCATAAAGAAACTTAAATCCTGTAAACGAAATTGTAATTAAAGCTAAAATTGAAAATTCATTGTTGAAATTATCTGAAATTTCATAAAACCAACTGCCTTACATACCTCCTCACTTTCCTCATGGGAGCTGTTTGAATCTTCATCTGACACTGTCGGTGGAGGTGCAACCTTTTTGCCTTTACTTGGCTTCACCTTTCCAGGATTTCCCTGAAACACATGAAAGGTTGTTCAACATCTCTTCCTGCATTGTGCAACCTGCTTTCAGCAAGCTAAACAGTGTTCTGTGTTCCAAGGTCACGAATCTAAGAGGGTCCCATGGGCCTTTATTTTTCCAAACCGAGGGGAAACATTTTGAAGTTCTTCAAAGTAATTTGGGGTCTTCCACAAATATTCAACTACCATATTTATTCGTTCATAATACGCACTCCTAATTATGGGCAATTAAAGATTAAGGATATAAACAACGCTTCTGTATGTATTCATGCTAGGAATGTGTTGGTAGTTTGTCCCAGGTTATGTTCCATTTCAAGAATATAATCTCATGAAAAACATAAGAACATCAAATTGTGTTGTTCATATGCATGAACGTCAGTTTCGCGGTTATCATGCTTATGTGACCGACCACTCGTCTATTTGAAAAGCTATATATCGTGAAAACATTACATTAAAAAATTATATAATAAATTAAAAGGGTGGGAGAATACTGTAAGGATAATGATGACTGTAGCAAGGAACTCAGAAGACAAGCATTGCTTCCCACACACAAGGGTGAATTTACTTTCGAATAGTTGATGACGGAGTAGAGCAAGTGAAAGAGGCTTAATGAAAATACTTAATCATACCACGTGATCTTGGTATAATACTGTGTAACCTACCTTGGAGGGTAATACATTTCTCAGCGAGTGAATAAATCTGAATGAGCAATACAGGCTACATGTGGATTTCCGAGAGACAGAATAAAAACCTTATACAGTACAACACGGATATAACGAACTACTAGGGACCAGAGAAATCAGTTCGTTATATCCGTTGTTCGTTATACACATTTTCCCTCGGAAATGTCCGCCATCTTGGATAAGACAAAACACAATACACACGTAACTGCAGCATTAATTGTATTAGCAGTGATCATTCAATTGATATCAATTTACAACATTCATTTAATAACATTAAATTCATAACATTTTCTGAAGATTGTTATCAAATACATGTACAAAATTTAAACATATTCATCATTTTTCAATTTACATACGAGATGTGTAGTCTGTAATTTTACTTTAGCCTCGTTTCGCTGACTGCATTCTTGAAACGGCATCGTTCAGATCCGCCAAACTGTCAAAAGAGGTCATGTCTGTTGCTTTTTGCGTATTCAAGAAGAGCTTTAGTGTTTCAAGCGCCTTATTTGCATCGGCAAAGGAGGTTGGGTTTGGTTCCACGAAGTCAATCCCATCTTGCATTTCCTCATCGTCAGAATCTATTCGACTAGTGCCATCGCGTTTGTCAACAATTGACTGGATAATGTTGTCATTGCTCGGACGTTCGGCAACAAGAATATCTCGGTCGGCGTCTATGAATTCTTGGAGTGTCACTTCGGATGGAATGTCTGACATTCTTTAATTCGGCCCATACATCCCGGAGGTCTGATAAGGGAATGTCATCCGATTCACTGTCGGATTCAGCTACACCATCCGTCAAAACAAAGCCACCTTTCCTGAAACAGTTCTTTATCGATGTTGCATTAACCTGCCGCCACGCTCGATGTACCATCTCGATTGCATTCAAGATGCTTATCGTGTGATCTTGTTTCTTCTCAAAACAAGATATCATGCTCGTCATCATCTGTCGCTTGTAATGTTGCTTCAGATTAGCGATAATCCCCTGGTCCATCGGCTGGATCTTTGATGTTGTGTTTGGTGGTAGAAACACAAGTTTAATGTTTGTCAGATTGGAAACAGCAGGGTGCGCGGGGCAATTGTCTACAAACATTGTTTTGATTCGCCGCTGATTGCATACAGCCAATTGTCAGTGACACTTGACACTGAGTGAGATTTCTCAGTTCGCTATACACGTCGCTAATTAGTGATAAATGGGCTTGTCGGTGATCAGATATCAGTTCGCTGTATCCGTTAGTTCGCTGTAGAGAGTTTGTTATATACGGAAAAAATTTATATGATATTATAAAGGAGATAAATCGGGGATTTTTTAACAGTTCGTTGTATCCGTTTGTTCGTTGTATCCGTTTGTTCACTATATCCGTGTTCGTTATATCCAGGTTCTACTGTACTCCGCTTCAAAGCAAAAATCTTCACGCTTTTTCCGAGTCAAAGGAAGTCACATGACATCGTGAGAAGTCATGTCTCAAACAGCTGTTTTCTATCAATTTTGAATTTGTGTTAATTCTTTATCAATGTCAAAACATGTCAGTAGGATAAATTTGTTGTAGCAGGATCACTCAGGGTACAAACCCCATGTACCCCGAGTGATCCTGCTACAACTTATATCATCCTGCTCACACATTTTATAAAGAAAAATATATGCAACTGAAAAGTGAAAACAATAAATGAAACAAGAAAACCCTGACATTTAACTCACTCAATCGTATCCAGCCATGTTATTCCAAACATAACTAATTTATTGCAAAAGAGGTCCCAAAACAGCGCCATTATACTTCGCGGATCAGGCAATACGATCACACGATCGTTGGTCGAAAATCTCAGAGCATCTTATCACCACATTGCTCGCAGATGTAAAATTACTACAGAACCAAGAGCATTGTCCAAATGCAAAGGTAAAATTATATTCAAAATTTACAATATCACAAAAAACAACATGTTTTGATGCCCACTTAAACATACACCCAATTTCATTATAGATTCATCAAATATTAGCATAAATAGCTTTTTCAATGTGGCTTCTGTGGTTTGTCATATTGAAAGTCAGATTAAAAATTCTTGAACAATAGGGGAGGAGTCATTGATCATGTTATAGGAACCAGTTTCTGAAATGTTTTCGGCAGATGCAGTACGACAGACAGACAACAAACAGATAGACAACATAAGCTCACTTGATTTTCACATGTGAGCTAAAATCCTGTGAGACGTGTAGACATAATTTACTGGCAACAAATGTAACCACAACTAATGAACAGTTCTGCCAAGATGAGATAACTATCCCATCACCAAAATATATGGAGATATCATACATGGGACAATAAACATTTTCTTTTTAAAACCAAAACTGGAGTGTTCAGTTTTTTGTAATGAGTATATTGATTGGAACTGACAGAAACAATCACATGACCTTTTGAAGGGTTTATAGCCAATGACTTTTTTAAGTATCTTAACAATCTGAATCCAAAGCAAGCAGTGTTAGACACACCCACTAGACTGTTATTCCGAGACTAGCGAATATCGTGTAATTTCCCCCCCAAATCTACCCACAAGTTTGATATGACCAAAGTAAAAGAATTCTCTAGTCTCAATCCTTTCTCTAACATAACAAGCATGAAATACTCATATCCCCCCCCAATGTAACATGTCGGGTTGCGTGCAATGAATTAGCTCCTGTGAACTATGTTCACTGGGCCTTTTTGTAAATGGCGTAATTGCAGCACTAAAAAAAGTTATTACTGGTGTTGTTTTGCCATCTGCAGTTTATGATAGAATATGTAACTATTAGTCATGAGTTGTGTTATTACTTAAACAATCAGAGTTCTTACTTAATTTGAGATCAATGAGAGCAGGGGTCGCCATGGGGTGTACTGAGAAGTACAGGACCAGTCATCTGAAGATCTGAGTAGTAGACTGGAGTCTGGAATGCTACAGCACTGGCATGATCAGTAAACAACAAGTCCAGTGTTGCTCCAAGACAGTGAGTTGGAGAGTGAATGAGTCGAGTCCTTTTTCGCACATTAAAGAAATCGTTAAGTTTTAGTTTTTCACTCAGACCACAGTTGAAATACCCAGTAACTAGGACATGTTCACATCCATGCTGCTTGGAGAAATCCTGAAGTTTCTGCAGGAAATGAGTAAGTGAATGTGACAACTGTGTCCATGACACTTTTGGAGGAACATACACACAAGCAATGCAGAACTTGCCAACAAGAAAGAAAATGTATTCAATACTGCGAGATGACAATACATCACATAGCTGGAGACTGTTCTTGAAACTTGTTGAAATATACACTGCAATACCATCTGTAGTGGCTCCTGGATAGACTTGAAATCCTGGCAGGTCTCTTTCACTGTAATCATTGATACGTGTTTCTGTGAAACACTACCCACTGCGAGGAGTTAGGATGGTTCGGGTGCCCCTGTTCATGTTACTGGTGCCCACTGTGAGGAGGTAGGCTGGTTCGGGGTGCCCCTGTTCATGTCACTGGTGCCCAATGTGAGGAGGTAGGCTGGTTCGGGTGCTACTGTTCATGTTACCAGTACCCACTGTGAGGAACTAGGCTGGTTCAGGTGCTACTGTTCATGTTACTGGTGCCCACTGAGGATGTAGGCTGGTTCGGGTGCCCCTGTTCATGTTACTGGTGCCCACTGTGAGGAACTAGGCTGGTTCGGGTGCTACTGTTCATGTTACCAGTACCCACTGTGAGGAACTAGGCTGGTTCGGGTGCCCCTGTTCATGTCACTGGTGCCCACTGTGAGGAGGTAGGCTGGTTCGGGTGCCCCTGTTCATGTTACTGGTGCCCACTGTGAGGAGGTAGGCTGGTTCGGGTGCCCCAGTTCATGTTACCAGTATCCACTGTGAGGAACTAGGCTGGTTCGGGTGCCCCTGTTCATGTTACTGGTACCCTCTGTGAGGAAGTAGGCTGGTTCGGGTGCCACTGTTCATGTTACTGGTGCCCACTGTGAGGAGGTAGGCTGGTTCGGGTGCTACTGTTCATGTTACTGGTGTCCACTGTGAGGAGGTAGGCTGGTTCGGGTGCTACTGTTCATGTTACCAGTACCCACTGTGAGGAGGTAGGCTGGTTCGGGTGCCACTGTTCACGTTACTGGTGCCCACTGTGAGGAGGTAGGCTGGTTCGGGTGCCCCTGTTCATGTTACTGGTGCCCACTGTGAGGAACTAGGCTGGTTCGGGTGCCACTGTTCATGTTACTGGTGCCCACTGTGAGGAACTAGGCTGGTTCGGGTGCTACTGTTCATGTTACCAGTACCCACTGTGAGGAACTAGGCTGGTTCGGGTGCTACTGTTCATGTTACTGGTGCCCAATGTGAGGAGGTAGGCTGGTTCGGGTGCCCCTGTTCATGTTACCAGTATCCACTGTGAGGAACTAGGCTGGTTCGGGTGCCCCTGTTCATGTTACCAGTACCCTCTGTGAGGAAGTAGGCTGGTTCGGGTGCTACTGTTCATGTTACTAGTGCCCACTGTGAGGAGGTAGGCTGGTTCGGGTGCTACTGTTCACGTTACTGGTGCCCACTGTGAGGAGGTAGGCTGGTTCGGGTGCCCCTGTTCATGTTACTGGTGCCCACTGTGAGGAAGTAGGCTGGTTTAGGTGCCCCTGTTCATGTTACTGGTGCCCACTGTGAGGAGGTAGGCTGGTTCGGGTGCCCCTGTTCATGTGACTGGTGCCCACTGTGAGGAGGAAGGCTGGTTCGGGTGCCACTGTTCATGTTACTGGTGCCCACTGTGAGGAACTAGGCTGGTTCGGGTGCCACTGTTCATGTTACTGGTACCCACTGTGAGGAAGTAGGCTGGTTCGGGTGCTACTGTTCATGTTACCAGTACCCACTGAGGAACTAGGCTGGCACTGTTCATGTTACTGGTACCCACTGTGAGGAAGTAGGCTGGTTCGGGTGCTACTGTTCATGTTACCAGTACCCACTGAGGAACTAGGCTGGTTCGGGTGCCACTGTTCATGTTACTGGTACCCTCTGTGAGGAGGTAGGCTGGTTCGGGTGCCCCTCTTCATGTTACTGGTACCCTCTGCGAGGAGGTAGGCTGGTTCGGGTGCCACTGTTCATGTTACTGGTACCCTCTGCGAGGAGATATGGCTGGTTCGGGTGCTACTGTTCATGTTACCAGTACCAACTGTGAGGAGCGAGCGAGCGAGTATGGTTTTACGCCGCTTTTAGCAATATTCCAGCAATATCACGGCGGGGGACACCAGAAATGGGCTTCACACATTGTACTCATGTCGGGAATCGAACCGGGGTCTTCGGCGTGACGAGCGAACGCTTTAACCACTAGGCTACCCGACCCCCCCCCCCCCCCCCGTTCATGTTACTGGTACCCACTGTGAGGAAGTAGGCTGGTTCGGATGCCACTGTTCATGTTACTTGTACCCACTGTGAGGAAGTAGGCTGGTTCAGGGTGCCCCTGTTCATGTTACTGGTACCCACTGTGAGGAAGTAGGCTGGTTCGGGTGCCACTGTGAGGAAGTAGGCTGGTTCGGGTGCCACTGTTCATGTTACCACTATCCACTGTGAGGAAGTAGGCTGGTTTGGGTGCTACTGTTCATGTTACCACTATCCACTGTGAGGAAGTAGGCTGATTCGGGTGCTACTGTTCATGTTACCACTACCCACTGTGAGGAAGAGGGCGGGTTCAGGGTGCCCCTGTTCATGTTACTGGTACCAACTGAGGAAGTAGGCTGGTTCGGGTGCCCCTGTTCATGTTACCGGTACCCACTGTGAGGAAGTAGGCTGGTTCAGGGTGCCCCTGTTCATGGTACCACCATGCACTGCGATGAAATATGCTGGTAAGGGTGCCGCTTGTAAGTTGTGTTTTCACAATAAATCACCATATACCTTGACCAAGTTTCTTTGTCAAGTGGTATACATCTCAATTAGGTAATTATGGTAACGTTCTCGGACATCTCTGCGTAGATGTTTTCGTAGAATATGTAAACAGTTTAAGAGTAATGCTCTTGCTGAGGAAACATTTGTAAAAACTCTCAAACCATCAAAACACACCAGTTTACCACTAGACCTATTTATATGCCAAGTTTGGAAGAAATATTGTACTGTTTTCAAGATTGGCGCCAAATGGTGATTTTCAGTGTAATAGTCAGTTGGCCACCAGCAGAAAAGAGGATTAGTTTAGTTTTTCGTTCCCACATTTTCCTGTATACCTTAAACCTTTTCTATTGCATAAAGGAGGTATTTGTACACAATTTTCATTGGGTAGTAAGCTTGCAAGTGTGTGCGTGAATCTTGTTTTTCATCCCTGACTATAAGTCAAAGTCATTGCCATAGAAACTCGAAACTCGAAAAATAACTATCTAAAAAATCCCAAAGTATCAAAAAGGCACTAGTTCACAACTAGGCCTATCTATGTGCCAAGTTTGGTTGAGATATCGCTCATGGTTTTTGTGTTCTTTTCCGGAAACGAAATGTGATGGACAGACAGACGGACGAAAAGACCGGACGGACGGCACCCACTTCGTGGCAGGGGATAATAAAACACAATTACAGAAATGAAATGTTAGTCTAACCTCTTTAAACTAGCATAGGTTACAGCAGACCAATGCTAGTTGTTTTTTTCTAGCAGATTCAGGAGAAAAAGATTCTCAAATAAGTTCATAATGAATCTTGGAGTTCAAAAGCATGGTCAATATTTCAAATAATAAAAATTTTATCATTTTAAAAACAGGAGCACACAAACCTTAAATATTTGGAGCCCTACTAGCAACATAATGTATTTCATATTCCATAGCAATCTGAGTAAAGAAGACGCAATGGGTTTATAAAAATGAATGCCACGTGAACACATTACAGTGTCAACATTGGTACTTTCAGTAGCATTGGTATTTTTGTTGTTGACCACCGCTACCATTTACAAGCATGCCACGATGTAATTTCACTTGACCTTCTTCCCAAGGAAGCTAAATATTTGACAGAAACATTTCTACTATAGCCCTTTACCTTTCATAATGCTCTTCAAGGCTTCAGCAAGCTGTTCATCCTCTCTCAAAACTTCATAAGGGGATCCATGCCATGCATACTCTCAATCCCCATCATCAGGGGATCTAAGCTCTGTACACACTTCATCCCCATCGTCAGGGGATCTAAGCTCTGTACACTCTTCATCCCCCATTGTCAGGGGATCTAAGCTCTGTACACTCTTCATCCCCCATTGTCAGGGGATCTAAGCTCTGTACACACTTCATCCCCATTGTCAGGGGATCTAAGCTCTGTACACACTTCATCCCCATCGTCAGGGGATCTAAGCTCTGTACACACTTCATCCCCATCGTCAGGGGATCTAAGCTCTGTACACTCTTCATCCCCCATTGTCAGGGGATCTAAGCTCTGTACACACTTCATCCCCATCGTCAGGGGATCTAAGCTCTGTACACTCTTCATCCCCATCATCAGGGGATCTAAGCTCTGTACACACTACATCCACATCGTCAGGGGATCTAAGCTCTGTACACACTTCATCCCCATCGTCAGGGGATCTAAGCTCTGTACACACTCCATCCCCATCGTCAGGGGATCTAAGCTCTGTACACACTTCATCCCCATCGTCAGGGGATCTAAGCTCTGTACACTCTTCATCACCCATTGTCAGGGGTCTAAGCTCTGTACACCATTCATCCCCATCGTCAGGGGATCTAAGCTCTGTACACACTTCATCCCCATCGTCAGGGGATCTAAGCTCTGTACACACTTCATCCCCATCGTCAGGGGATCTAAGCTCTGTACACACTTCATCCCCATCGTCAGGGGATCTAAGCTCTGTACACACTTCATCCCCATCGTCAGGGGATCTAAGCTCTGTACACACTACATCCACATCGTCAGGGGATCTAAGCTCTGTACACACTTCATCCCCATCGTCAGGGGATCTAAGCTCTGTACACACTACATCCACATCGTCAGGGGATCTAAGTTCTGTACACTCTTCATCCCCATCGTAAGGGGATCTAAGCTCTGTACACCCTTCATCCCCATCGTCAGGGGATCTAGGCTCTGTACACCCTTCATCCCCATCGTCAGGGGATCTAGGCTCTGTACACTCTTCATCATATTCACAAATTATACTGATTTGATATAGTGGGAATGCCTAAAGACACTATTGCTAAAGTGAAGTTTCTCCATTGAATATTAAGTACCATTAAATGTTGTCTGAAACTTCACCCTTTTATTTAACCAAAGTGAAACCAACACATACACTGGCTAGCGACCACTTATCGCCAAGTACCAATTATCGCCAAGCCCCTGTTTGACTTGTTCGCAGTTACAAATATTGTCACTTCCGCTTGTTTTCACAAGGCAGCCAGCAAGACAGAAGACAGATGATGGAATCAATTTGCAGTAAGTAATAAAAAAGGCAACACCAGTTAGACGCCCACGTCCCCAAACTTTAATAGCACCGACATACCTGGTGACCTGTGACAGCAACATAATGATATTGCGGATATTCGTCTGCTTAACATAGCTTTGATGGTTCTGCTTTATTCTTGTCTAATCTGTTTATTCAGTACATGAGTGGGCCAGCGGCCCATAGTACAATTCGGTTCACCAGACATGTATAAAAATACAACTGTGTACACCTAAATACACAACAGCAAGGCATTCATAGATAAAGAATATTACTTCTGCAAAAATGAATTCCTTAACTTAAAAGCGTGGTAAATATAACAAGCCAGACTTCTAATTGTTGACTGATGCAGAGACGACATAAGTATGTAAAATTGTTCTATTGATGGATTTACATAATATTTTTGAGGAATATATGTCACTCGGAGAGCATAATATTTTTCACAAACCAATACAAAATGGTATTCAGACTCAACATAGCCTGTTTTACAAACCATACATAACCTTCGCTGTCTTGGGATACCAAAATATCTCCCGGTTTCTATGTGGAGCGAGTGGGAGCTAGCTCTAAAACGTGCCAGTGCAACGCGAAACTTATTGATTGTAATAGCCGATAAAAAAAATTCCCTGCTAAACCTAAATTTATAACAAAGATATGATGAATACTTGGGGCTATTGGTCAAAGCAAAATGCCAATCTTGTTCATAAGAGCATTTTAATCTTTGTATGAACTCATCAATAAATGAAATAGAAATAACAAGATGCTGATTTTCCCATACGTAGCCAAAGCCATAGGCGTACAAAAGTAATTTAACTCTAGAGGCCCAATTAGTCTTACCTGCTATGGCCTGCTGCACAAGCATATTGTAACTTTTTCGTGGATAACGCGAATCGGGCATCTTTAAAATCTTACACCAATAATTCAAGCATCTTTTGAAAGCATAGATATACAAAGGGTATCTCCCACACTCTCCACGCACAACATGATTGGAAGTTGCTGACTTAACTCCTAAAATACGTTTACAAGCAAGTGTATGAACAACTTCAATCTCCTCGCAAAACGATAAAGATAAACCCCAAACTTCTGCACCGTAAAGAAGTACTGGCACAACTTTAGCATCAAAAATTTTAAAGAAAATATTCATAGGAGTAGGTTTAATTAGCTGTAGGGACTTCAAAAGCTTAAATAAAACCTTTTTAGCTTGATTAACAACATTAGATATATGTGCACTCCAAGATAGATTTCGAAAAAATAATACACCAAGGTATTTATATGTAGTTACACATTCCAACAATTTTCCATCGTAAACCCATTTTTCATATTTTGAAAGAACACTCCCATTTTTAAAAACTACTACTTTAGTTTTATCAATATTGACTGTTAATGAATAATCTTTACAATAACATTCTAACACATTGATTCTTTTCTGGAGACCATAAACAGTATCTGCTATGAGAATGACATCATCTGCGAAAAGTAATAAAAACAATTGAACTACATCTGGATGAAATTGGATACCATGTGCGCAACTGGATTCAATATCTATGGCAAGATCATTTATGAACAAGGCAAACAAAATGGGACTAAGGACACATCCTTGACGAACTCCCTTACTGCAGCTAAACATATCAGAAAATGAGTTATTGTATTTGACCAATGCCAAAACTTGTTTATAAATTGACTGTATACAACAGAACATTTTCGGAGAAATACCATTTTTGTATAGTACCATACGCAATTTGGATCTATCTATGGAATCAAAGGCTTTGGCAAAATCAACAAACAAGGCATAAATCACACCTCGTTTCTTAGCCAAATATTTCTCTATTACTGAATATAAAACAAAAATATTATCAGTTGTGGAATATCCACTCCTAAAACCAGCCTGAGACTCTACTAGTCTATCATAGGATTCCGACCAAAACTGAAGTCTTCTGTTTAAAATAGAAATATAAAGTTTACTGAATACACTTAAGATAGTGATACCCCTATAATTAGTGGGAGAATTGGCATCGCCTTTCTTATATATAGGAACAATGTGGCCAACAGCCCAAGATGAGGGAAAATATGCAGAATCAAATATAGCATTAAAGAAGAATGTCAAAAAAGGAACCAGAACATCAGGAGAAGACTTGTCATGTCATAGGCCCAAATAGACGATAAACTGCCAACTCACATGATGACAAATAAATTTAGTCTATCAAGAATTATTTGAATGTTGGTACAGTAGATGTACTACACTACCTCCAATAGTGGGCCTGTTCGACAAACCATGACTAACTGTAACTAACTAACTGTTGGTAAGCACAAGGCAGACATCATTTATTAAGGTGATAGTCTGAAGAAACTTATGACAAACATTATATTGCCGAGTTTACACCTCACAGATCCAGTACACATAATTTATCAGATCAGGGAACTGCTATGTTGCATTTGCAAACAGTATGAATCCTGACTACATTTGATACACACTCCGTCAGCAGACGATAGAATACAGCAGACAACAACCAGTCACTTGCTATATACAATAGGCATTAGACATAACGAAAACATATGGTTGAGTTTCATAACTTAATAGTCATGTTTCTTATTCGGATTATCATTATTCAATTAACAAACATCACATAATTTTGGTTATTCCAAAAACAAAACCAAAGACTGTCCCGTTAACAACCCTATCTTAAACTACATACTCAACGGCTATGCAACATGCAGAGCTTCATTTTTCATTAAACCCTGGAGTCCTTTTAATTTAAGATAAGCTGAGTCAAATCAATAATAGACAAATTAGAAAATGTTGAATAAAAAGCTTACTAGAGTAATTTCTAAGTCAAGGTTTCCGAAATGGATGCCATCTGAAACACCATTAATTAGGAGATTCTACTCACATGAAATTTTTGGCCAAGGCTATATCATGTATATCCAGCTCAGAAGTGTTTCTTCTTTATTTGTAATGCAACATGATGTAGCCATTACATAAGATTTAACTAAAATTACGAGTTGAAATAATCATGATAATATATTAGAGGAATACATAGCACCCATTATCATTCATTAAATATCTAATTTTCGATGCTGTCTTTTAAAAAAACAAAGATACCCAGCCAAAAGTTTGGCTAATGCTGTTGGTGTTGAAGGGGCAAGGAAAATGACGGTTCCGCAAGCTTGAAGGCAAAATGCTGTACCAAGAAAAAATATTGATGATCATGTTCATGGACTCGTTCAAGATTTTTCAAAACGTGGTCCAAAACCTATGCTAAATTTAGAGGAGGATAGTTTAGTTAACTACATAACATACATGGCACAACATGGATTTCCATATAAGTGATCCATTACAAGGACCTTTGTCGTCGCCATAATAAAGAAGTGTGAAGACCATCGCTCTTCAAGTTCAACATGCAGGGTTTGCCCTAGACATTAAAAATTGGGAGTCATTATGACCCCCAACTTTTCAGATTAGGAGTCATTCATCAATTTTTGGGAGTCATATTAACTAATCTCAGAATCTCGCTATCAGGATGAAAAATTAAGTAAACATAAACAAGGTAAGATTTTAACTTTTTATATTCTTCATTATTTTAACTGTAACATAAATATCTTTGATTCACAAAGTCAAGTATATTGGGCCTAATACTCGATAAATCTTTTTTTACACTATGAATCATAAATAACTTCTATTCTAATCTTTTTGGAAACTGTGAAAAGTGCAACGTAGATCGTGATAGGTACTAGGCAGAGCATGTATACTGTTGTGTTGGTCGTCTACCACCTGCGACTCGACCTTTGTTAACTCTTTCAACACCAGTCAAACAGAAGTGTTTACTGCTGGGACACCGAGTTCCCAGAGACTCTTGTGTGATAGATGAAGCCAACATTTATCAAAGAAAATACCTGCTTGTAAAATATATTTGCCACTACATGTTATACACCATTTGAAAGGTCTGATCCTATGGTTTATAAATATGAAAGTTATGTTTTTCACATTATATAAAATAATGCATTTACAACTTAATTAAGTTCGTTGTAAATAAAAAAATGTAAGCTAATACGTTGTTAACATCCAGATTAAGGACCAAGGAAGCGAAAACTTGACGATTTTCGGCAAATATAAGATTTCATAAAATCCACTCACCTATTTCTGTTTTATTTTCATTGTTTACGTAATTGGAAAATCATTTTAAAAAGAATTATACCCATTTCCCGATAACAGCGGCTGTCCGCTCAGTAACAAGAAGAAATACCCCCGTTTTCGAGGCTTCGTATGAATAACACGTTCGTCGAAGAATGGCAAATGACACATCGCTAGAAAGCTTATTCCTTTATCTACACGCTCGTAACATCGGCTGGTTTTTTTCGTAGTTATAACAAGTGATTTCATTGGAATAAAATTGATCTCCAATGACGCTTTCTTGACGAAATCTGCTACAAGTTTCGCGATTGGTCAATTTTGAGCACGTGACCTAAGGCAGCCAATCAAATTACAGCTGTGATACCAAGCTCGTGTTTGATAAATTTCAGAAGTTGGCGAAAGGTTTTTGTTAAATCGTTATTCTTAACGTTTTAAGCAGGAAATCACGATACATATTAAAAATATGGAACTTCGTGAATGTATCGTGCTAGGTTACGAGCTGTGACAAAGACTTTTCACGCATATATTTTTGCATTAAACATCGTGTCCGAGCCGAGAATTCAAGGCGACGAAAGCTGAGATGTCTTATATTACACGCGATCGCACAAAAAGATGGAAATAATAACTTAGACTAACTAAGCTTGATTACTTTTAGATATATTTTTGTTGATTTTATTTATTACTTTGTATAATATATTTAAAGATTTGTTTAACACGCCTTTATTTTGCTCTTTGACATGTTCGATGTGGACCCGTTGTCGAAATGTGTGTCCGAGAATTTTATTTTCAACAACATTGCAGGGAAATAGTGAATATTTATTTAATTTATCGATAAAAAATTATAAATTGAAATGGAATACGTATTTCAGACATTGTGAAATGTGATAGATTTAATAAATGAATGATATTACAGGTAGGTCCATAAAAATATATACTATTTTGACGTGACTACGGCTTGGCCGGTTAACCCGCTTACGGTGTCTGGGGACTCATGTTTCTTGGCCGAAAACCGGCCTACGGTGTTGAAAGAGTTAACCGCTGATCATCTATAACACTCATCAATTATTTGGACCCCGAAGGTAGCGTTGTAACTAGGGATCACTGTATTTTCTTTCTGACAAACGGAAAGGTCCCAGTTTACTAATTGTAATGGCTGTTTCATTGCGTCAACACTGACGCAGTAGTAAATATTTTTAGCGTATTTTCAATTATTTATGCGTCAAATATGCAGGTTTTCTGCGTCAGGGCGAACCCTGAACATGGTTACTGGGCCAAGTGAAAAATGGTTCCGGAAGTTCTTTGAACATCATCCGAATCTGCAAGAGCGCCTCCTGATAAATCTGGTCAAATCTTTAATGTAGATGAAACTGGCCTCAGTGGCAAGGAGACCTCCAGACAATGTGTTGCAACTCGGAGAGGAACCCATATTTACCAGCAACAAGTAACCACATCAGATCATATAACGGCTAACATCTGCATTTCCGCTGACGGGAAGGTGCTGCCAACAGGTGTCATCTTTTCCAAGTGCTTACCCTTCAGGAACTATAGAAAAGGTGTGCCCTCAGGCTGGCTCTACCGTGTTTCTGACAGTGGTTACATTGATGGGGGGATATTTAGAGAGTGGTTCAATCACATCTTCATACCACACTGTGGATGGCAGCAACCTGTGCAACTGATCATGGACAATCATGATGGTCATGTTCACCTGGACATCATGGAGACTGCCTTGGAGAATGACATTGAGCTTTTGTGCCTCCACACACCACTCAAATCCAACAGCCTCCTGACATGGCTACATCCATGGCAAAATAATAGTTAGCATTAAATTACTATCACCTCCAGAATTAATGAACTGAAAACTATTGTTATCTATATAAACAAGAGTCACCAGAAAGATGACATATCCCCCCGGTGGCTGTCTGTAAAGTAACAACAAGTAAATGTGCAATTCTCTATGTAATGAGTCAACAGTTGAATGTTCTTTAAGAAGCATACATTGTTTACCCACTGAATGGTTTTCGAATTCTGGCCCGGAAACGAACCCGTTCCCCAATGGAGTCTAGGTCCAACTTCTTTCCATAAAAATTGTAAAAAATAAAAATTCGCAAACATTTTTTATATAAAAAATGCACCACTTTAGTATGTGCCTGATAGATTTGCCAAGTTTCGATCAAATACACTGAATGGTTTTGGAATTCTGCCCCGGAAACGAACCCCCATCCCCAATTGAGTCTATGTCCAACTTCATTCCATAAGAATTAAAAAAATAAAAATTTGAAAAATCCCAAAATATCAAAAGGGTTAACCCCTTTGGTCACAAGGACAAGGTGTCCGACTCCTGATCAGAAGGCCCGTGGTTCGAATCCCATCACGGAACTCGGAAATTTTATGGCCGCTACACAACGATTGTCTTTAAATGTAATACCCAGTTATGTATGACTGTTTAATAATCTCATACCAACTTTTACTGGAGTAGGTCCGATAGTTTTTCAGATATTGTAGTAAACGTTGGTACCTTAAATTACCTTCCAGACTATACCTAAAGATTTACAATTAGACATAGCTGATTCTATCGTCAGAGTTTCTAGAGACCTAAAATAATGCATAAAAAAATGGTGATAACTGGTCACTAGCCAGTATTGCAGTTATTTTTCTTTTGTCATTCTTTTATCCTTAACACACATTAATCAATGTTATATATAAAAATATATTGTACATCCCCACAGACAGCTTTTTGTAAAGTTCTTGCACATGACAAATTCCATAAGGGAGTTCCATATACACAGACACTCTAAGATATGATTTATCAAGTCATCTAAGGAGCTTTAAGACTTAGTGGCTGCCCCTGGACATGTATACTATATGACCATGTATGAGACCAACACAATATCTGAATCCAGGCACAGAGGTATCGGTGAAAGTCTTGAGACTTAACTTTGAACATATAGCATACACACTCGTTCTATATTTGTAAATGCCATAGTATTTCTTAATAATTATATTTTAATGTCAGAATATTTCAGTAATAGGCCTAATAGAAAAAATGGCGGCAACTGGTCGTTGTATCGTCTTAATTTCAACCCTTCGATCGAAACAAAATAGAAATCGTCGTGACATCTTTCACTTAAGACTGTTGCGCTGCAGATAATACAATTTGTAAATCGTAACTTACTGCCAACATATATCTGTGTATTCATCTACGTGGTCGTGGTAATACATCAGCCTTAGCATGACCACGTGGTTTCTCGTCAAGTTAACAAATCGAAATTTTGAGGCGCACTTGGATACGTTAGATAATGTAAATGTGTTCTATTATAACATTACCTTTGATTTTTTCGTTTGCTGGGGAGCCATGTCTATATTCAGCTTTCTTTCGTACTTTCGCGTACAGTCAAATGGAGATCCACCTAGCTCCACACTCGTGTTCAATCTTCTGGCGAATGTTGCATTCGTGCGAACCGGAACTAGAACTCTCTGAAAGACAAGGAACACCGTTTTCAGATTTCGCTAGATATAACGGGACTCTGCTAAAACGGCACTTAATTACGCGACAAAGTCAAAACGCCCCTAATTATGTTTTATTTTGTCAAAAAAAGAACAATTTCAAATGTGCAATGTAGTTTCACTTCTATACAAGTGTTGTAAGCTTGTTCTTTTATTTGGTACGTCCTTGTTTACTAAATGTCTTTTGATACAATACTTAATCATGCTTGAAGGGTGCAGGCTAAAACGGCACCCCAGCAAAACGTCACCGATTTCTCTGGCGAAAACGGCACCGTATTTGGCGAAAACGGCTACTATGTGTCGGGCGAAAACGGCACCTCTATTTTTAATAAGGATAAGAACGATTTTTGTAGTAATATATATGGTTTATTTACATGGCCACAGTTATCACAGCATGTTGTTGTTTTCTGACATTCTTCTCTCATGCAACACATCGAAAGGCCATTGTGAATAATTGTGATCTGACAGCACCATGTTAGGCCTCTTAAATACAGTTTCAGTTTAAATTGAGTAAAGGTACTTAAAACTTGAAAGCGTATAGTGTTTTCACATTAAGTTAACTGCGCCTCCCAATCAGTCGGCGAGTAAATTGGAGTAGGGGTTTAATTAGCACTAATAGCACTTATTTGGTTATGGGCCGGGAAGGCGAAAATCAATCCCTCAGAGTTAGAAATTACGTTCGCCTTCCCGGTCATCACAAAAATTCTTATTATGGCAGATGATCGCCGTCCCGGTACTTGTTAATTACAAAGAAAACACCAATGAAACGAGGACACTATTTAATCTGGGCAACAAAGTCAATATATAACAAGTATAGTATAACATATCATATATCATGCATGTATTTGAAGATGTATATAGACATACATTTTATCATTTATGTAATAATTCAGTTCATTCCCAGTGCAGTAGATCGGTGTCGGCCCGGGAAGTCGAAAATCTATTTACTAGTAGTACCGGAAAGGCGAATGGAGGGGTAAGGGACTGGGGACCGGGAAGGCGAATGAAAAGATCAGTGATGTGTACCCTCGTTATGTATACAACGAACACTTATACATTGAGGACACTGGGGTGTTGGGAGACGGAAAAGTGAAGAAAGAGATAAAACAAATTGAAGAAGTGAAGAAGGTTGTAAGACGAGCTTCTGCCCTTCCCTTGGTGCCACTAGACATGGTTGAAGACGTGTGGGCTGATGCGATTGCAGACAGTCCTCAAGGCGTCAAGGTGACGCGCTTCATGGACTATGTTACCACTACATGGGTAGAAGG